CTTGGAAGTGTGACCTAGTAAAAATTAAGCAAAGAATTTGGTTAAGTATGGAGAAAAAACACGCTTCCTCCAGTTAGCTCTGAACTGACAAAAGGAATTACTCACTTGCCCTCTGGATTGCATACACAGTGAATCAGAACAAAGGTAATGTGTTTTAGGGATGGCCCTCCATCCTGATGTACCTGCCAATATTTGAGTTTAGCCAATATTGACTGTGATGATGGAGAATCATTTCCACGGGACAAAAACAAAGTGCATTGAAGTGCAATCATTTTTCAAATTGCACGCTGGCTTCTAGATAGAGATGTAGGGTCTTTGGAACTGACTTGAAAGCTGTGGTGTTAAATCTTTTAGGAGGTGGAAGGTAATGGCTTTAGACAGCAGAAATAAACGAGAGCCCCCGGAATCCTTTTGGTTTGGCAGAATGGACTCCAGCAGCAAGCATGCTGAATATATCTGAACATAAATAACTTCATGAAAATGTAAGCAGAGTTCCACAGTCTGTCCTTCACTGTTTGCATGTTTCTAGCTGCAATGCTGTGCTGCATGCATGCTCATGCTCTGTCTCTGGTCTCCTTTTTTCGGTATCCCTCTTATTTCTCCCTCTCTCTTTCCTGGCTCTTCTTCCCTCTTCTGCATGTCTTTTCTCATCCTTAACATGTAGCATGTTGTTTTACTGTAAAGATTTTTCTGGAGCTGGCAAAAATTTCATCTAATATATTATTGATAACACCTTTTTAAATTTAGAATATGTTGGTTTAAAAAAAGAAGTAAAATGTTACCTTGCCTGAATCTTCTTTAGCTAATCAGAGCAGTATTGCAGCCATGCTTAGTGACCAAGTGTAAGAAGGAAAGTATGCTTTGGCAACAATATCTGCTGTCAACCTTTGTATAGCTCTTATTCTTCAGTGCAAGATCAAGAACTTGTAAACAAAAGATTTTTAAATGAGTGGATAATGATCCCTTGAGACATGGGACCTGACTGAGGTTATTGGTTACAATACTAAATTTTCAGGGTTCCTAGATTTCTCTGGAAACTAGAGTCCATTTATTTAAGGTAGTTATTATTTAAGAACATATGCCATTTGCATGAAAGTTAGATACTGCTTACAAAACTTCCATTCTTCTTAAATTTTTCCTTTGGCTACACACACACACACACACACACACACACACACACACACACACACACACACACCAAAAACAAATGTTTTACTTTGCTCAGTCACAAACTCTAGAGACCTGGATTTGGATGTAACGTTAATCTTACCCACAGATTTCTTGCAATCGGTTGCAAAAATCAGACTAATAGTGATTTACAGCAATTGCCTGTCATATGTTTATACCATAGTCACCTGCATAATCCATCAATTGCCCCAATAATGCCAAGTTCATAATCTACCTATATTTAGTTCTCAGGAAACACCCACCTGGTGCCAATGTTCTAAGATTGAAGGAGTTGGCTCCCAGCTTAGGTTGCTCCAAAAGAGAAAGGACTCATAGCCACGGTGGCTGACATCTAAGTAGAAGGTAAAGGGTACTGTTCTGGGAAAGTTTATTAAACTGACAAAGCAGGAAGGAAAGATTTATCAAGGGTGAATTCCTCACTTCCGTTCCACGGACACTAAATGAATCCTTACTTGCTATTTCATGCATCACAACTTCCTCAGACTAGACTCCAGTAACATCTCTTCTACCACAGTGGTAACTCTAAATATCTCCAAAAATTGATGAATATTTACCAAGCTTCAAAATTTCCCCGATTAAGATGAACTATGCAAGATGCTGTGGTAGGAATATGGCTATGTTCCTTAGGATTCATTGGGATGAAAGACAAGCAGAGTGTATCTGGAAGAGAGGGCTCTGGGTAAGAATTCCAGACATATTTCCTATTTGATACAGTGAAGAATAGTTGTGGGCACAACAAGGATGGAGTATTCGGTCAAGGGGAGGGAAGACGAAGTAGATATCAGAGAGGATAGTTGGATCTGACCCTGTGGGACCCTGGAGACCTGGAGAAGATACTTTTTTTCAAGTGTAAGTAGAACAGAAAGATGTTAGAGAATTATCAGGAAAGAAGTAAAAAGATTTGACTGAAATGTTTTTTTTTTCCAGGAACAATTTTGCTGTTGTTGAAATCAGGAAGTCCTACCAGTAGGCATTTGGGGCTGTTGCAGGTGGAACGGTTAGGGGTACTTCAGACTCGACAGGCAGCAGAGAAGGAACAAGACTGGTTGTAACACAAGCTTGAATAAATAGACATCTATTACATAGTCTCAGCCTACTGTTTGTGTAGGGTACTCACAGCAGGGAACTTCTTGAGGACTCTGCCTGGAAAGGCTCTTGTGTCTTTTCTATCTTTTCCCTGACCCTTCCTTACAGGAAGGTTTGAGTGCCCATCTTACAATCGCCTAACAAACATACAATGAATATCCAGGAGCAAGATACTATTGTTGCATCGTTGGAGGACAGTAAGGAGCACAAGAGTGAAGAAGGAATCTAATAAGTTATTTGCAATATCTAGGAGATGTATTTGGAAGATAAATATGATAATATCTCTCAATATTTTAGTTATTTTTAACCTCATAGCTACTTCAGGCACTATAAATTCAGTCTATTTGTAACTAATAAACACACTTTTATCTCTAAGGTTTAATGATTTAACATTTTAGAATTATTTATTTTATGTTTTTTTTTTTTTTTTTTTTTTTTTTTTTTTTTTTTTTTTTTTTTTGGTTTTTCGAGACAGGGTTTCTCTGTGTAGCTTTGTGCCTTTCCTGGAACTCACTTGGTAGCCCAGGCTGGCCTCGAACTCACAGAGATCCGCCGGCCTCTGCCTCCCGAGTGCTGGGATTAAAGGCGTGCGCCGCCGCCACTGCCGCCGCCGCCACCACCACCCGGCTATTTATTTTATGTTTATGAGTGCTTTGCCTGAGCACATTTATATAAGAAGTCATAAGAGGGCATTAGCTCTTCTGTGACTGGAGTTGTGAGTGGTTTTGAGTTACAGTATGGGTGCTGTGAACCACACAGAGGTCCCCTGCAAGAGAAACAAGTGCTCTTAGTAACTGAACCATCTCTCCAGCCACAGGTTTAGATATTTGTAATCATAATCCAATGAGCAATAAAAGGACTGTAATTCTAATTAAAGTCAAATTCTGTTAAAAGATGAAGTCGGATGAAAAGGCACTGCTGACATGTAGAAGAAACAAAAGTCTATATTACAGTCTATAAATGCAAGTGATAGTGGTCTTGGGTCAGCTTGTTTTCCCCCAACCCTGAGAACCTCTCCAGATAGCTGATCATGTTGGTATTTCATTCATTTTTATCTACATAACTAACATTGAATGGAACTAATAAAAGCAGGCCTCTTTGCCATATTCCTTTATCTACTAAACAAAAGTCCATCCAGTTAGTTACATTGGTTCTAGGGCCTTACATTGAAACCAGCATCCTAAGATGCAGAATCTGTGGATCTGTGCCATGCTCCATAATTAGTAATTCATACGTGTGGAAAATAGTTATTTTAACTGCACAGATAAAGCAGGAAAATATCCAGAAGGACATGATAGGATTTAAGCATTACAGATAATTTGGTGCCACGAACATCTGTAGTTTCATTTCTAGTCATTTCTTTTTTTCGTTGTAATAGAAAAGCAGCCCGTCAGACCATTTTTATGTTTTTGACCTCATCTGACCCAGCTCATTGTGGGTCACACAGTGATTGGAAGGTTAAACACTGAAGATTTTTTAAATGCCTAGCATCTATTTATTAGTTTTCCGAATCAAATTCTTTCATCTCCTTCCTGAAACAGTCATCCTTTGTGATGCATGTGGCTCATAAGTCTATCCTTACTTGCATGGTCTTCTGTAGTTTCCTTACTATTTCATTGGAACATCGTGACTGTTCTCAACCTACCCAGGGAGACCACACATTAGATACTGTAAGGACATTACTAGTCTCAAACAGCCAACTGTTAATGCTACAGTTTCTCTCTCAGACTCACAGTTAGGAGCCTCTGCATCTGCATTTAAAGATGCTGGCAACAAATAATGATTACCTTAGGAGTGCTCAATAGCACATGTCTCTTGGGCTATAGTTGTCATATTGCCATGCCATTCTCAATACTGGGATCTTGAGACCACCTTATCAGGTCATAGAGATAAAGCATATTAAAAATTTCATGCGTGTTTGCTATAGGGCCTCAGCCAATAAAATGCTTAAGAAATTTCAGCCATATTAGAATGGATAAGTTTTATGCCACCTGTAAAATCAATGAGCTTTTTATATAATTTCTTAAAAGAAATTACTAAGCATAAAATTTAAGAATCTTAATATTTTTTCCATTTAGTGGAAAAAATATTATTGAGTTCTCTCTTGATGAATTAATGATAACCTATAGATCAGACTTTTTCCATTTAGTAGAATAATAATATTGAGTTCTCCCTTAATGACTTATTGATAACCTATAGATCAGAGCATTCCTCAACGCTCTTCAGAGAAGTTTCTCTTTGCAGTAGATGCAATTAACACAGAGATGCTCAGTCAATGTGCGGAGAATAAAAGACTGTGGAGCACTCAGCTCCAAATGGAGCATTCCTATGACACACCTTCTCCCAAAAGGCTCAAGAATCTTCAGAGAAGAGGGGGCAGAAAGATTGTAACAGCCCAGGGTGGTTGATAACATCAAGGAAACTGTTTTTTGAGCTACAGCAGATCACGTGTGCATGTGAACTCACACTCATGATGGGATGCACAGGACCTTCACAGGCTCCAGCCTGACAAAGTCTCAGCATGAAGCAGGCAAGGTGGTCATGCAGCCTTCCTTCTAGCTGCGGAGCTATTAGCACTTGACAGCTGCCAGGAACAGATGAATGCTTTTATTTTATTATTTTTTTTAATGATGTAACACCCTGTAGTTTGACCACTTACCAGGGCATACCTTACTTCTAAGACTCTTCAACTCTAAGTCATATTATATACAGTACATGCTTTGACCTAGTTTACAATTTCTATTTATTATGCCCACCGAAACAGCATTTAGATTTACAGTTTAATTTCAAACAGGAAAATGCTTCACAAAATAGGATAGTATTTCTCAATGAAAAGTTATTACAGTATAGGTCCAAACAGCTCAGTTCAAGTATTTTCCTGCATAGGAGAGTTGGTGTAGACTGTAGAATGAGATAAAGCAATGCTCTAAATAGCTGAATCCAACCTGAAGTTTGTCAAAGCTAAGGAGACATTTTAATCAAAACCTGCCTCACTTTTCTAGGATTTTTGGTCATACAAATGCATCACATGTCTTCATTTCCAGAAAGTAATGTTATGTAAAGCTTCATTATTCTTCTTTATCAGGAAAATACGTTTCAAGACTTTAAAAGTCTGAGCTACAACTACTCAGGTTTATTATTTGGCTTTACTCATAGACACCAATATAAAAGTTAAGTATTGATGTCACTGCTTATGCCACATGGGGTGTATTTCTATCATTGACTTAGTTACTTGTAATGTCTACTCTAAAAACTATGTATGTTTCTCACCATTCAATCAATAGACCACTAGTAAATGTAAGTGGTCTTTACTAGCTCTTGATTATAGTAAGAAGAACCAGCAATGTACACTGCAGAACTGCCATGAAAAGATCATACATTTCTCAATCAGAAGTCTATCCTTACAATACTACACATTGGTGAGAACCCCTAATCTACATATATTCTTTGTATAGATGTACGGTACCAGTACTTGCAATGCAAAGCTTAGAAGAGGTTGAGACCTAGGCACTAAGTGTTGACTATGGCATGACATATTACAAAGTTTAAAAAGAAAACACACACATATATTTCAGGGGACTGTTGACAGCTTAGGAATTCAGAAATACCAAGACCAAACTCTCATCTGTCTCTCTTCAAGTTTTGATGACATTGTAAGTGCCCTCACATATATCTTTGATTAGAATGGCCATTAAATACGCTGACTTCTCAGACTCTGAGGAATAAATTGTGCCTGGCCTTGACAAAAAGATTAGAGATCGTTCTTGTAAATTGTAGAATCATATTGAAATTAAAACTAAGTCAGAGATACTATATTTGACAGTTAACCACTAAAGATGTTAGCACCTCTGTTACAATAGCAGTTTTTCACTGGACAAGGCAAAGGGAAATGGAGTGAAAACAGTCTGTTCTGAGGACAGGTCTCCTTTGAGTTAGACTCTTGAGTCACTGGGGGTGTTGCTTTACAGGGTGATGGATCAGATGGAGCAGTATTATATTTTCTATTAATCTATGTAGTCTACATATGCTGGTTAGTATAACCATAAGGTAAGGACTAGAGACCAAACATATTGAAAAGGTGCTGATATATTAACAGATTATGACTGTATGTTCTAATATGAATGTCAAAGTTTCATTCTCTTCCAACATAAATAAATACCTCATTATATCCCCCACAAGACTTGCACTAGAATTATATTCGACATCAAGAATTTATTGGGTGGAATTTTTTTTGCTGATTTGAACATTTTTATTCCTGTGCACTGACTGAATAATGAATGAATAGACCCATATTACAATATAGCCCCATAGTTTGATTGAATGGAATTTATAGCTTGATTATAGACTGATGTGCTTTGTGGTAATATGATTCAATAAGCCATGTCTATAGTTCATGTTAATACAGAATTATTAGCACATTTTAGGTGACTATTCAGACTGATTTATGTGTTCGATTTTCTGGAACTATAAATTGTTGGTCAATGAGAAAAATAATATAGAAACCATACAAGTTCCTTTTCTGTGTTTTTCAATGATGAAATTCTTTAAATATGGTTTTGCATCTGTCTTGAATGATCTGTTTTGTTCTTATGGTTCTTTCTTTTATTTTGTAGCCACGAAAAACTCAAAAAATGTAATGCATTTGTATGACCCTGTGTTTCACTGTAAAGAGATGAGTGATATTTATACATTATGACAGTGCCGTCTTACAGAGTTGTCAACTATGAGTAGAATTAAGTAGAATATTGTACTTAACATATATCTAACAATGAGCTGCAGTGATAGTGAACACTTTGGACTTCTGAAGCTGCCTATAGCTCCCACTTGTTTCACTGATCTTGTTAACTTGCTAACAAAGAAGCTACCAGTGGAGGAATATGAGAGGCAGGGATTGACCCAGTGAGTCGCATAGTGGGTCCAAGAGTGCTTGACCTTATTGCCACGACTGGAATGTGCAATCACAGTCACAGATGAGCTTCTGTTACCAGAGCTGTGCCTGCTAGCTCCAGGTCCTGTCACTCTGGACAGTTTGATAGCAGTAAAAGGTCACATTTTGCAGTGTCCATCTGTACCCACAGACAAAGTTGTGACTCATACTATCAACATCGCACAAATCCATGTTGTTTAAGATCATCTATAGAATCTCTAGAGACAGGAGATACTAATTCAGAGTATTTTGGGGACCTCTTTCTAAAGCTGTAAGACTTTATGTTTATCATTCCTAAATTCACTTAGAAGTTGTGAGTACATGACTTTCATATAATGCATTAACAGCTCCTTGTATATCTTTATCAGTGACGTAAATGAAACTGATTCTGTTTTTTTTCTCCCCAGACAGGGTTCAGTTATGTATCCCACACTGGCCTCAAACTCATGATCCTCCACTCCAGTCTCCTAAGTGTTGGGATTGAGGCTTGTACCACTATGACTGTTTTATATCAGATCCTCCATTGTGACTTAGCTTCTGTGGGAAGCTTATAAGCCATATATATCCTCTGGTTAAAAACTTGCTACTTGCTTGATTAAATATACATTTTTAAACTTGTGACCTGAAAAAAAGTCAATGTTAATGGGATTTGAATGACTTATTAATATAGTGATGAGTAAGGAGCACTACTAGCCATGAAAGACTAAATTTAAGAAAGTGGCAGATTAAAAACACATGAGGAATATGCACACATACACTTGCTTCACACAGAAAGATTTCTGTAAAAAAAAAATACAAAAGCCACCAGTGCTGTATATTATATAAACTCACAAAGTGCACTTTATACACAAACAAGAAGCATAAATTAAAAAATAGGACAATAGCAAAACATTTTAAATATAGAAGAATTTGCACATAATTTTTTGTTAAATAAGAATAAATAATTTCATCACAGAAATTCACATAGCAGTTGCGAAAAACAATAAATTACTTAATTTTTCAGTGCTGCAACTTTTTTTTGTTCATTTGTGATTCATCCCTCAATTCTTAGTTTAAAACTGTTTCCACAGGAAGGCAATGGATGCTGAATCTGTTAAATAATTATAACAATGCTCTTATGCTTCTAAGCAACAAGGAGGGTTAACGCGGCCTTTTCTGTTGTAAAATGACCAGACATTCTTTTATTCTGGGCTCTCTCGCACTTAATGAAACATTCTGGAGTGATTTTTATGCAAGTGAGGTTAGGAGTTTCGTAACCTGAGCATTGTCTTCCCCCCATATTTATTCATCATCCTAAATTCAAGGTCTTTTAACAATTCAAGATACACAGTGGGAAGATGGAAGACATGGTACATAATCAAACTGGACTGAATATGGGTTGCCCTCCACCACCCATCACCCTTTCCTTCCCTGACAACTCCCCTCTTCTGAATCTCAGTTTGCTGTGTCTCTTTCCTTAGGAGTTTTAGGTACATTCCCCTGTCCATGTAGGATTCTCGCTTTAAAATGGAGAGAGAATTCCTTCAGACAGAGAATAGTAGTTTGATCGTTCTGTCCTTGCTGGAACTATTCCAATGTGAAGAGTAAAACTTCATTATTGTAGGGAAAAGCAAACCACTGAAAAATCTTATTAAAATCTATGAAGGTCATATGGGGAAGCAGAGTAGGTAACAATCAAGTTTATGCTTTATTTTATTTTAAAAATAACCACAAAAGAGAAAAATATGAATTTTGTCACATTTGAACTGTTATTTGGTTCGTATTATTTTCAAAACTGGAAAAAGTTACATTAAACTATTTATTCTCTATTTGTACAGTTAAATAATCAATGTGATCTTTAACTTTTTTGTTTTCTGATGAGTTTGACTGGATTGATTTCCTGCTCTATATTTGGAGACCTCCAATCAATATTGGCCACCAGTTTGATATATGTTGAATTTCTTTATTTAAAGAGACCAGGCTTTGAGATTTTAAAGGATGATGATTGGTTTGGAAGAGAATTGACCTATTTCACAAAATAATTTCTTAAAAAAAAAAGACAGTATAATTTATTTCTTTTCTTTCTGGTCTGCTGAAATAAAGGTGACATAGAGTCATCAATTACATAATTTTTTATATTAAAATATCCTATAATAAAATAAACTCTCATACATTTAGTGGAATTCCAGTCAGGATTTCCTAAAATCCTTATATGCAAATCTTTAACAGTAGGCACATTTGGTATGATCACTATAAAATTTATATAAAACAATTTGCTTTGCAGTATTTCACAAATGAAAAAAAAATCTCAGTGGAATAAAACATGCTATATTATTTGAGTTATCCAAGGGGAGTTGTGCAGTGTATAGTATAAAGAATATTTTCTGTTTATGATTATTAAATATTTTTAATATACAACCTTCCTGCACAGGCAAGAGACTTCCTGAAAACCCTTAAATTTCATTATTTATACATTCACTGGTATAGTCAAACACTTTGCAATTGGGAAAATTCTCTAATACAGTAGGTATATACTTGTTTTTTTAATTATGAGATGATTGCCTATGATGTGGAAACAGTCTTATTAATGCTAATGAGTTTGATTTATTGAATTAATTGAATTAATACCGATTGCTCCTTTTAGATGAGACTAAACATGAAGTGATTTTAATATTACTGTTAGACCCAGTCAATACAGAATATAAGTCTTTTCCAACTCTTGGGAAAAACAAACAAGCAAACACAAACACATTTTGAAGGCTGGCTGAGAAGAGGTATGCTGGTACTGAAGGTGCTGGATGTGACAGATAACTTGATGCTGTGTGTTCTTTATGTTTACTACACATTGTGAAATATTAGCTGGGAGCCACAGAAAGTAAGCTGTTGTGAAACTATAAATTGAAAACACAGTGACATATTTTTTTCTTTTAAATTCCAATACAAGCAAACTAATGTTTAAGACCCTTGGATATTGATCACATATACACAGGAAAACACAATTTCTACACCACAATGATACAATAATTTGGCTGGCTGCCTGAAAAAAATACAGACAGTCAAATGTTAGAGTACATGGACCTGAGGATGTGCTTAAATGACCAGATACACACAGATCCTTTCCCCTTTTAGAATTTCTCAGAAGATGCTTGCTGTCAAAATGTGTTTTGACTAAAACATTATCTCCTGGAGTCAGACAATACACAAAATCTTGTTTAACAGCAGCAAGTTCTTAATTTCCAGTAAATCTTCCACAGCTCTTTCTGGAAGCTGGTAGTTGAAATAGCTGCAGACCTACTTTGGTCAAATACTTTCTTATTGAAATATACATATAGCTATATCAATAGGACCAAGGATATAAAGTGACATTCCAAGGGTGGATGCATTTACAAACAGTAAAAATAAGTTGTGTGTCATGTCTGAACATGATCACAATGCCTTTGAAGACATTCTATAAGAGGTAGGTGACAAACTACTCTGCCATCTTCAACTGTCCTCGATTCTACATTCATCATTGCGTGTCTCCTTTTGTGTAGGCCCCAGGATGTTCCAAAACTCCCACGCTTTCTGTATTCCAAGTGCACCATCATGACATGAAGTAGTGTACATGTTTTGGTCGCAGAGAGCAGATTCTGCCCATAATTCGACTCCTAGTGACCATGACACTGACGCACCACTTTCTGTGCCTTGGTTAGGCCTTGTCTTCACCACAATGACACCTGCGATGATCCTCCAGTTACCTTTGTGCATGGGAACAAACCACAGGCTAACATTTCTTCAGCAAACATTGCTTAAATGCAGAAGGCCTCTGAGAGAGAAGGCATCCCTTTGCTAGTTTCCGGTTTCCATCTTGGCACTGCACCGTCCTGGTGTGCCAGCCTGTGTCACAGGTTCTAGAGCAGGCCAGCCATGGGCCTGTCACCCACTGCAGCTGTGGAGCATGTGGTCCCACTTTGTTGCTGCCATGGCTAATGACTGAGTTTCCTTTTTGAGTGGACTTCTTGGGAACAAAAAAGCTGTAACGGACATCTAATGCTTTTGTTGGGTCTGTTGCAAGAATCTGTACAATCAGAATTTCTTTTGTGGCTGAATAGCCCATCCCATGCAAAAAATCATCTCTGTGGCTCCACCCACTGTAGTTCATGACTGTGCCATTGATGTCGATGATAGTCTCTGAAGTGGAGATCATGTACTTGCCGTTGATAAGGTACTCACCATTCTTCTTCTTTAGGGCTAAATAGGCAGTGAACCTAGTCTGGTCTTTGGCTTTGAATTGTCGGACTTTTATGTGAGTTGCTCCTTCAGGGATCCTCACAACGTCTGTGTAACCCTTACTGTAGGCAAGAATGTCCACATGGGAGGTGAAGAAAAGGGGCAATGAGATAGAATTAGTACATGCCTAGACATGGATAAACAAATAGAACTTTTCTAAAGGTTTTCCCCACATCTTAACAAACTTTTAGTGTATTTCAGAGTCCACGTTTAAATTGGCTTTAAGTTTTTTTGATAGGACAAATAAAAAATTGCAGTGTGATATTACATTATGTCTGTTTTTACTGAGATGTTCAAAATTAGGATGATGCTAGCAACCCACACTTATTTTAAAGGTGGATTAAGAGATTTATTCAGTCATTGCATCTTTATCAATTTGTACCATAGTTACATAGATATTTTATGTTTTTCTAGGCTCAAGGTAAGTGACTATAAATAGATTATAAATATACTATAAATAGACAAATCTGCCCTCAGTTAATCTCATAGAAATATTTAATGTGTCTGACAATGGACTCATCAGCAGATATTAGTAAGCCCTATTACTATACCCCAGGCCAGGTAAACCTTTGTCTTCCAAGGTGGGCTACAGGGTCAGTTGTCAGAGATCTTCATGTTGCTTCAATATACTGACTTGTTTAAGAACACAGGTTTAGTTATTTCCTGAATCGAGGCTCTGCCTCTAGAAGCCATACTAGATTTTATGGGGCAAAAAAGTAAATGTAAGGTAAAAATTTGTCACTAGATCATGAGTACTTACTATTATTTAAGAAAAAAAATAATTTTAATGCCTTACAGTTTTTTTCTGAATGTTTAGTCTTCACCCAACATTATGATAAATTGAATGAGGTCTTTTATTGTGTAAAAATGTAAGCAGGTCTTGAAAGATACATCATCTGTTCAGGAGCAACAAAGACCATCTCTAATATTCACAAAACTTGTTGAATGCTAGCACAGCACACATATTAATTAAGTACCAGGAGAGTGTATCAATAAGAAGGGCTCTCATCATTTGACAAAAATTTTGCTTTTATAAGAGACCATAGTAAAGCTTAAAGGTATATTATTACTTAATATGACTTTAAACATTTCCCAGTTATTTAAACAGAAACACCATTGTATGTGCAGATCCACTGACTGCTGTGAAATTAAATTGTGTAGTCTCTAATTCTTACTCAAGGTTCAAGATTATAGATTAAAAATCCAAGTTTATATCCCCTGACTTGAAGAGGGAAGCTCATTCCCAAATGCATTTCTGTGTCTACCAGGGGTCTAATCTAGAGTACCCATCTCATACATGCATCAGAACCTCTGAGGGTTAGGAAGAGCAGAGTTGCTTGGGGGTATCGATGATTCTGTCCAACTGAATTCATTATATTTGTGTTCATAACGTTATATAACACAGTGTATAATACTTTTTCCTCAACTATTTTGGTAGTGTGTAATATTGATACATAATCCTACAAGAGCTTCAAGGTCAACTGTTGGAGATGATGTTACATTGTACTCTAAAAGAATATGACATGAGAATATAATAAATATCTTCAAAGACTTTATTACAGAGCTCTTCCTTGTCAATACTGGGCTTAAAAGCCAGACCCCTTGACTAATTTTAATTGTTATATATTACCATTGTGGGTAGGGATTTCATGCATGTCCGTTGTCTTCATCATGAATTTCTTTATCACCACATGTAACTTCAAATGTACATATATCAGTTATAAATTCAGAAAACTTCAAAGTGTTGCATTTAGCACTTTGAAAAGTGGTTTTCAGTTTTAGAAGAACACACCGGGTACATTGTGTGAGGTATTACCTTAAAAATTAGATTCCTCTAAGTCGTATTATTTCTTTCTCTCATCATCTTCTTTATCTCTTTTTCTATTCCTTTTATAAGTTTCTTTCTTTTTCCCCTCATTCTTTTTCTTTTCCTCTTTTACCCTCCTTAGCTCTCTTTTTCTTTCCCTCTCTTCCTCTCCTTTCTTATATCACAAAATGTCCCATATACCTATGATCTCATTTATAGCTTCTGCTTTATTCTGAAATTCACCCACTATGGTGAATTACATAAGTCTTAGTTCTAAGTTTTAGTTTCCTCATCTGTAATGTAAAGTTTGAGATGCTAATCTGTAAGCTGTTTTGTGTATTTGAAATGTGGAAAGGTACAAAATATTCCTGGATCTGCAGGGTTGTTGTAGATGGCCCAACCTAGTCAAATGATTTGGATTTCATTAGTTAGCAAGATTAATAATACATACTCATAGTCAGAATAATTCTCCATCCATGCATTGTAACATTGTATCAATCATAATTACATTTTTTTCAAATTAGTGTGATACTTAGGCCTTTTAATTAACTCTTGTTGATATAATTGGCAGATCGCAGACAAGCTAAAGAAAGCCAAGCACCTATGTTGGCATTCAGGCACACTCTACCTATATACTCTACATGGGAGAAGTTTCACAAAGAAGAAATAACCCCGGGTTCTGTCAGATCCCTTAGCTAAGTCAGCCATCCTTCTGACAGCACTGTTATATTTGATTCCAGAATCTGTAATTTATAGTCTCCTGTGTTTAAAGCAGAAGGGTGGAATCAGGAGACATTGCTGTGTGTCTGTCCTTATGGAGTGGACAGAAACCAGATCATTCCCTGTAAAGTGGGATTGTTGCCACAGCACCCCAATTAACTTACATTTTGCAGGGAGCAATGTTTTCTGAAGAAAAACACACTGTCCTGTGAGAAATTGTTTGCTATAAAAACAGCAACGGGAGCCAGGAGTGGTGGCTTATACCTGAAATCCCAGCACAAAGGCAAGAAGAGGACCAGACAGACGTTCAAGCTTTTCCTGGTCTACATAGCAAGGCCACATCTCAAAAAGAAAAAAAAAACCCAAAACAAAACAAAACAAACAACCAATCAATGGAAGCCATGGAGGAGGAAAGGAAGGAAGAAATGTGAAGTTGGGAGGCAAACATGTCCAGTGGAAGTTGGAGGAGTGGATGTGGGTGTGACCAAAATACATTGTATACGAGTATGAAATATTCAAAGAATAAATTTAAAATATCATAAAAGGGCTGAAGAATGGCTCAGTGGTTAGAAGAGCACTGCTGGTGCTCTTCCAGAGGACTTGGTTCCCAGCACCCATATGGTGGCTCACAACTTTCTGTACCTTCAGTTCTGGGGGATCAAATTTTCTCTTCTGGCCTCCTCCAGCACCAGGCATGCAAGCGGTACACAGACATACACACAGACAAACATCTACACACACATCAAATAAAACTTAAAAATGTAAAAATAGCTAAGGCTGAAGCCAATCATCCCTTCTAAATGAGGCTTTAGGAAAGGCAGATTTGTTGGGTACCACATTATGGAACAGCGTCTGCTTTTTCCTTTTGCTCTCTAATCCTAAGACCTTGGTTCCACAGCTGTTGTAGTTTATCTGCTTTTAGAGGCATTTAAAGTTTCTACCAGCCACAGAGACCTATTCATCTCTTCTCTTCCCCTTCTCATATGCAGAAAGCATTGCTGAAGCCACATTAGACCTTCTCCTACAAAGAGCTGATGAGGTAATGTGAATCTCCTGTATCAACTTCATAGGAGTCTAAAAACCTTGTTTAGTTCACATGAGTGCTAAGGTGCTGCTATCATGTTACCTTTTTTTGTTGAAGGTTCCAATAACCTTTGTACAACTGGAATTGTCCCCTCCACATACTCCACACTTGTCATATTGCAGCTTTGAGCCAATGATGCCATCACAGCCAGTTCTCACGCACCTTCCTCGGACACACACAGAGTTGCTATACGGCCGACATTCAGTCCCATCTGTAACCTGTGTATGACAAAGATATCAGCAATAGGGATATTTGGGCTCTGGGATTTGGTTCTTTTACTTAAAGAAAAAGTTGTAATTTCCAAACTTTTTATTGTTATAATTTATACATTCAAAAATAATCTAGATACGGCTCAGAGGCTAAGAACATATACTGCTCTTGCGGAAGACTAGACTTCATTTCCTAGTGCCCATGACAGGTCATTCACAACAACCTGTAACTCCACCTCCAGGGGCATCTGATGCATTTGCTCTCCCCAGCCACCTGCTCTCACGCACACATACCAACACACACACAATTAAAAAATAAAATAACTCTTAAAAAACTAAACCATCCAAAAGCAATCAATCATTCAGTTTCCAAGAATTTCTAAGTGAAAAAAAAAAACCCAAAATATATTTTTCTTAGGAAGATTTGGTTATGCACTTTTTCTCTTGAATTTCTTGCCTAATATATTTGGTGGTCCAAGTTACTCATCTTCTTGTTTGTATTCATAACACAGGCCTACTGTATCGTTTTGGCTTTTACAATGATGAAAATAATCTTTTAACTTCCTAGAAGACTATCGCTCCTGTACAGATCTGAACATTACCAGTCTTAAGAATACAAAGATTTTTTCATTCTTTGTTGTGTAACTTTTACTTTAGCAGCAAATTTGAAAATTAAGACTTATTTAAAAATCTGTCATGGTCATTGTGTGTTGAACCTTCAGGCATCAAAGGAAAGACAGACAGATTTGTTCAGGAAACAGAACCTGGGGAGGAGTGTTTCCAAAAGGTTTGAAAATAGAGTGAATGCTTGGTTCTGAATACAGGAAGTAGTATATGTTGTTGTTCCAAAGCCATTTAAACATAGCATGAACAGAAACTGGTATGCTTATGTGCATGCATACTCATATTCCTCATATATATGCATTTTAAATTTGTGTGCCTAAGACTCCTTCAGACATGTGAGTATATGAGTTTGTGTGTTTATTTGTAAACTGAAGTAGAAGGTCTCTAAAGTATTAATAATTCTCTTCCCAGTTATATTTCAAGCTTTTTGTTTTTATTTCTATGTAATGTTTTAAGGAAATGTATCACTTTGTAAGTAAGTAGATATGATATATTAGTGTATTTCTTTTAAGGAAATGTATTTCTTTGTAAGTAAATAGGTATGATATATTAATGTATTTATGACTTGGACATTGGCTGACTTTTCAATGATATATGATATAGAAGCGTAGGTATACAGATACAGCTGAAGGTTGGTTTCAGGGATGTTTTAAATGTATCATATGTTTGCAAATTTGATAAATGGTGTTTGTAAATTGCTCCATCATACAGAAAATAATGAAAAATTCCTTTAGTATATTCTGAAAATATTTATCTGTGAAAAAAATGAAGAGTAACCACATGTATATCTTATAATTTAAGTGACTAGAAGGACTTTGGTTCATGGTGAAAGTCTAAGATTATTTCTAAGTCTTGGGTCAGAGACAATGACTTTAAAACCTGTATTTCAGAGTGAATCCATGAATTCTCAAATAGCTGGAAAATAGACACCTTCCCTCCCAACAGTCCTCTTACAAAATTTGCCTGGGAAAATGCATATTCTTTTCTAGACTATTTTGATGTTAGTATCATAATTTATTTTCCCAGACAATGGGAAAACTACACTTTCCAAAAATTGATTTTTAAAGCATGCACTTGTTCTGCTAAATGCTTTTAGTCCAATGTATAAAGTTTGAAAAATACACAAATTTTAGAGATAAAAATGAAACTCTCCCAAGTCTAACTGTCCTAAAAATCATGACTGTGTCCCTTTGACAGTTATAGACTTTACTCTATGAAGTAATTCCTACCCAGGGTGTCCACTGTTCTGGACAGAGAGGGCTTGTTACCTTTGGAGAAAAGACCACATAGTAACCAGTGCCCTTGGCTCTACAGGTAAGCTTGCACACGTCTCCTGGCAGGACACCTGCATATTTGGGAACCCATTCCACAAATGTTTTGACTCCTTTTGCATCAGACTGATAGCCATTTTTGGCCTCACACTGTTCATGACGAAAAGATTTACCTAGAAAACAAAACGTGTAACATTTATACCTTATTAACTTTAAGAGAAAATGTTAATGATTTCTGCATTGAAGAGCTCTCTATGCAGCAACGTTTAAAGTACCTTTGTATAAACAGAGTTGAAAACAAAAGTTCTCTCTCAGTCCCTTGGTGACATTGTTGTCTGCAACACTAATTCAAAAATCATTTACATATTTCTTACTCATTTACACATCAGTGGATCTATCTAGTATGAGATTAATACTACTTCTCTGGCCTCCCTTGTTTATTTCTACTAAAATAGGAACTGCACATGACACATGTTGTTACTGACATCCAAGAGCATCCTACCATTAGGTGGACAGGGCGTCACACTGCAGGAGCGGTATATGGCCCTCTTTCCTGTGCAGTAGCGGCCACTGTTTCGAGGTGCAGGGTTGTTGCAATGGCGGTAGGCAAACTGTACTCCTCCCCCACATGAGCGAGAACACTGGCCCCAGGGGCCCCAGGATCCCCAGTTTCCATGGCTTGATGTCTGAAATAGAAAACAGGAGATCTTTTAACTCTGGTTGGAAAAATCTCCCATATGTACATTGTAGTCGTTTGCATGTATCCTCCCAGCGGATGGCACTGCTTATGCTCCAACTGAAGGACTGCAGCCCATTTCTGGTGCTAAGCAAGTCATTGGCTTCAGGACCTTGTTTCTAGCAGTACAGGATCAAAAGTGTCACCCTAAGTAATGAGCACATGGCAAGGATTGCACCCTGTTTTTTCCAGTCATTTTATATCCTGCCTTCTGATACTATAAAACTCCTGTTAATAATCACAGATCCCTGTTAATATTTTTTTTTTGCTTTCATCTTGGACCAATAATGAAATGCATTATCCTGATGGCTTTGTATGATGTTGTTCATTTACATTTCTTTCCTTCTATGTAGTCATAAAATTCTTTGGTCCCATTTTTGACATCACACATTCTGTCTATGAAGATTCTGCCTCATACATGAACGCATTTTGAGCTGGGCTTGCTACATTCCTAATTAGATACAACAGACAATGTAAGGCATCTTCAGCTTATGTGCCCACACACTCCACATGGAAAGGTAACCCTAGGTACCAAACTTTAGGTTTCTGCCTGTGAAGACACTGCAGGAGGAATCTGGGAGATTATAACAGGTGTTACAGTATGAGCTATTTTGACTAGTAAATACAAGCTCCTGGTTACCTGGGTCAGGTTGTCTGACAAGACACAGGTAATGTGGATTGTGTGTTACACTGTGAACATATGTCTTGGCGGCAACTTCTGGGGTACCGTAGCTCCTAACATTACATGGATTTTCTGTCAGGAAAAAGTGACCATTTGGGATCTTATAAGAGATCCATCAAGGACCATGGTGTCTGCTCTGCCACCGCTTCTGCACAAACTTCAGTGGACACATTCTGATAACTTTGCTGAGAGGATTTTAAAAGTGAGCTTCCAAAATGCACCATAGAGGCTCTGCTTTTAGTGTCAATGTGGGTTTGTTTGTGGAATGCTGCAATTTGCCAAGAAATCCCTGTCAGTGGCATGTGTTCCTGTGTTTGGTTACTGGGAGGGCTGCTGTGGGTGGGAGATGAACTTTGAATAGATTATTGAAGGAGAAAAAAATCGTTTAGCTAGGAAATGAATCCCCTCTGATGACAATGACCATGCATGTCTGGAAAAGCACTTCCTGTGTTGGGTCTGGAGGCTTTAGATGACAGGAAAACCACTTACTGAGTAATATTTCTTCTTAGTTTTGTCCACACATTTACCCTGCAGGCAGATTCTGCCCTTCCCACAGGGCGTCCCTTCCACAGCAGGCAGCTTCTTGGTCAGACACACCATTTGGCCTTGGCGCACCACAGCACACCACAGCCGGGCACAGACATCCATGCCAGGACACACAGAGTATTCAGGCCCAAATGTCAAGTTGCACTGCTGGGTGGCATCGTAGGTCTGCCCCGGGAGTTCCTCAGGACCCAGAATCTGTTTTCGTGGTAGGTCTAGCAAGCAGTTACCTAAGAGAATAATCAAGATTCAGAATCAACCCGGGTTTAGGTTTCAAATTGTTATGATCAGGGCCCTAAAAATTTAAATGTTCCATGAGGTGTAAAAGCATGATGTACCTACAAGTCTGCAGAGTGGTGCCCTTGGGGATGCAATGAAAAGGGCTGACCCTCTGTTTGGATTCTAGAATTCTCTTAGAGTGATGCCCTCTTGGAGCAGATATAATGATGGAGTTAAGGCTGCCGGTGCCACTGTTCTACATGACTGTTTTGTAATATTTAGTTGTGAAAACAGTCACAGAGGAAATGAGGAGGGGCTGATCGTGAACTTCACAGTTAACTATGCCATTTACAGCTTTGAGTAATACCTCATTGATGACACATCCCACTCACCAGTTCTAAATCACCTCTTCCCCATGTGCCTGTAGCCTGTCTCCTTGTCACTAGTAACACTTAATGACATCAGAGGTCATTGTTCATTCTTGCACTCATTGAATACGTGCTTATTGAATACCGAGGATGTCCTCAATTTCTTCCACTAAAGTGAAAGAAAAACTAAATAAGTATTTCTTACAGACTAGTAAAAATTGTAATAAAAGGCTTTCAATATCCATAGAATAAAGTAGTGGGAAAAAAGCAAGAATATTTGGTAATTTGGACCAGAAAAGTCTTAATCTTTACCTTTATTTTCCCTTTAAGTCTGTTTATCATTTTCTTGTTGCGTATTCAGAGTGGCAGCCAAAAGCAGCTGGAATCTTAGAGTAGGGGCCAGGCAACCAGGATGCTACAGAGAATTCATAAAATCTGGAACTTCCCCTTTTCACCCAAAATGCATCCCTTAGAATGCAGGCCCAATGAGCTGAAATTATTCTTTTTCTTTATCAAATACTCAGGCATGGATGCCCACTGGCTTGTGTGATTTTTTTTTATTTTTCTTATTTGATTATACAAGTCACACACTGGTTATAATAGCAATAACAACTAACATTTGGTACACATTCTGTGTTCTTTATATATGTCAACTTACTTATTTCATACGAAAAATCCCAGAAGGTTGAATTACTCTTTTTATTCATCTTAAAGACAAGTCAAGAAATATAAATTGTCAATTTCGTATCCAATGTTACTTAGTTATTAGGGCTTTGTGCTCCAGAGCTGCCATCCTCCTGGCATACCATGTTGTCTCAGGTGTATAAAAAGATGTCTTATTTTCTTTCTGAGGGGCTGACACATATTGGTGTTGGTATCCTTTAAATGATAGATACTGTGTCTACTGCTAGAAAGAGCTGGCCTAAAGTCTAATTCTGATGAAATACCACATGCTTGTGTGCTCTTAGCCAAGTGAGTTAACCTCTCCCTAATTTATTTCTGGGATCTGCAAGATGCTTACATTTTTCACTATGAATTGCAAAGGTTGAATAGTTTTTAAAAAAGGACAGAAACACATGAAACAATGGTAGTTGGTTTTATGTTCAACTGAACTGAAAGTCAATGCCTTTTATCCAAGAAAAACTTCCATATTCAAATCCTTATTTACACTGGGAAAATAACTATTCAGCACATTTCAAGAGTACTGCAAACATTTTTACAACTGCACTCAACTTTCTACAAAGAGAGCAGCGTACACCTATTTGTCCATCTGTGATAGAGGCATTATAGGAAAATGAGTAAATAGCAAACCATTTAACTGAGCCAGAGTGTTTGAAGAGGTAAAGCTCTTTAAAGCCAGCCAGAAAAAGCATTAGAAATGAGGATCTCGCCAAAGAGAACTTAGGGAGAAAAACATTAACATCAAGTCAATAGGAAGGAATGATAGTAAAACCCCACTAAGTCTTCTTAACAGGACCTAGGAAGAGCAGGCACTTTGGAACTCTGGGAAACTGTCTTCATTGCTCCATCAAATGGCTGCTGTGTAAATCAGAGAAACCTTAGCAGATTGCTGATGTTAGAACACTGAACAAATCTCAGAATCAGCGAGAATGCTTTCCAGGTCTTTTAAAGTGCTGTGTTCAGTGTTTTTTGTTTTTTGGGTTTTTTTTTCCCTAAAAAGGACAGACCATAGACTGCATAACATTAGCTGGAGAGACTTAGTCTTGTGTAGACAAATAGGGCATAGGTCTACCGTATTTATAGTGAAACAGAATAAGTGATCATCTCAAGATGGATACATAGGCAGTCACTAATACCCATCCTACTTCACAAGAGATAATGAGAGTGGAGGAATGTAGATTGCTAGCAGTTTGGAATCGATCTTTGGTGAGGACACTTCAAGATGAAACAGGCCTTTACAATGTTTAACTCAGTACAATTAAAATAACGTTATTTTTAGAGGTCACATGAAAGTGATATTTTCTTGTTTAAAATAAAATGATTTCCTTCTTGGAATGATTGACATTAACTTACTGATTTTTTTAAAAAAGATAAGTTTCTGCACTTTAGTAACTTTGTTTTATATTTGATGATTTCCTTTTGTAACAAAATAGTACAAACATCTCTACCATATGGAAACCTTATGCCAGGAAATGACAAAAATCATTACAGTGTCTAACTATGTAGCTTACAGTACACAATATTTAAAAATGACGTGATAATGGATTATCCAATCTGTGTCTTCCACTTTTAAAAGTGCATATGGTTTGGGGGTAGACTGAAACTAGAAAATGACCTCTCTTTCAACATTAATTTTGGCCTTTATTGGAATGCAACTGACTTCTTTATCTGTTCAATTCTTACTTTTGGTCACTTCTTCATAACCACTTCATATTTAAAAAGTTTAAATTAGTCTGAAATTCTACTTGGGGCTTTTCTCTGTTCAAGATTGCCAAATTGTGCCTTCCTCTCTTCCCTCCTCTCTCCAGTTCTCTCCTCCCTGTCGTCTACTCTCACATTTGGTGTGTATCAGATGGAAAGTCAGCAGACATGTAAGCATAACATATGTGTTTTCCCATGCAGACAAGATTAAAAATATAAAATAAGGCCAACAACTGAAAACTGAAAAAAGTCATTTTAAAATGAGTAAACAAAAGAATAATTGTTTCTCTGTGGGCTCTATAGCCTACCAGTAAATAAAGGAAGGTTCAGTTTGCCTCCAGGAAATAGAACCTAGAACCTAAAAGGTTCAGATGTTGTTTAGGGCTGTCTTCCTTGTTAATTATAAGTAGAAATTATGGGACTAGGGTTTTGTTTTTTTTTTCCAATGGTTTCATCTCTTTTTTTATTTTTAGCACTGCGGTTATTTCCTCCTTCTCTTCTGGCACTCAGCTATAAGATTGAGCACTGACCCAAATAAATTGGGAAAACTCAATGAATGATCCTGAGACCTCACAACACTTTCTCTGCTCCCCATTTGTTTCTAGCTTCTGCTTCCAGTCTTTGCACACCTTCTGTGAGACCCTTGGATGAATGTCTAACATTAACAGGGAAGAGTGCATTTTTTTTGCTGTTCAAGAAACCATTTCAGGTCCAATGATAAAGGAACAAGAATGTTGCCAAAGGGACAGATGATGCTGACTGAAAGTGATTCTAGTGTCTGCAGCTGGTGGAAACATGATTTGCTCATCATCATAGATAACCATGAGGGAGTGAGGTTAAGCGTTCTCCATAACATATGTTGACACAAAGCTTTAAATTACAGTTTATCATGGCCTTTAGAGTATGGCTTATTTGCTCATATTTAAAAAAAAAACACATCTATTGCGAAAAATCAAGATATAGCCATAATAGGCTTCAAATTTCTTAATTTTTACCTTAAAAGCTGGTTTTATGTCTTTATTGCTATTCCTTCAGTTGGAAATTAACAAAGAATCCAGACATAGAGCTTTCCATTACTATTTTCTGTCAAAAGTTCTGTGTGTTGAGTGGCCATAACCTTAGTTCTTTAAGTAAATGATAAGAAAATAACCATTCATGCATTTCCCTCATCAGCCCAGGTTGCTGGTGTTCTTGAACTGTACCCACTTGGTCTTTTTCATAATCTGGCAGAGGAATTCTGGACACAGCAAACAGAACTATCTCCTTGGGCCTCACTCAAGGTTTGGAAGCCTTTGGTAAAGGAAATCCAATCACCTGCCTTCCTTGCACAATTTCTCTGCTGGTGCTTACCCCTACTTCCAAGGCTCGCACTCCCAGCCAGCTTGCCTTCAGCTAACTTGTATAAACACTGCAATGTTTCTGCAAAGCCCTTGGCCAGGGGTGGGGGCAGTCCCACGAGGCAAGGCTACTCCTGTTCTGAAGCTCAAGTCTCCAGACACACTTACTTTAGAGTATGCACTTTGGCTTCCCAGTCATAACGGAACCACTGCACGTTTCCCCTTGGACCCAAATCAGGAAACACTCAGTACTAATGAATTTAAACCTGGCAGTGGTAGAGTGCTGCAAACATCTAGCTACTTATGGCTAATAATTTTAAAAATAAATCAAATGCTTTGAATTTAATTTTACTCTAGCTTCCTTTTGCTTCTGCACTGTGGGAGGTGCAAGCAGGAAGGATGTGATGTCACACCAAACATATGTTTCCACATCATGTGCTCTTTAGGCACCATCAAAACACTGGGCACGTTTTGTGACAGCACTCACTTAAACATGGCGTATTTTTCTGCCTTTATCTGAGTGTCTCCATTTGACTTTCCCAAGTGACTGAAAGTCCATCTTATCTCTGTATAAATCTCTGTATCTGGCCAGTGTCTGCTAGTCTCTCGAGGAATGAGACTAGCATGATGGATGTCACACTATTGATATTTAGGAAAATGGGACCAGGTTACTACACCCTTTTCATTTGTTGGTTGGTGGATTGCTTTTAGGTCTGCAGTTTACTGATTTTGTTACTTTCTTACTGTCAAATGAGCTCACTTGCCCTCAGTTTATCTGTGTGAAGTCTTCCCCAGGCCTATGAGTACTAAAAGGTTATAATGGCCTAGAACATGAGATCCTGACCACAGTTTTTTTGAGTGGTTACTTCATTGGCTTCCTATAAAGAAAGTGGGAAAAAAAAAGTTGTATGCTATGATGTGGTGAAATCTGTTAGTCTTTGAACCAATGTGTGTCTGCGTGCCTGTTTTTAAATCATCTTGGACTTGGGATTTTTCCTTGATTCCTTAAGTTTGTAGTTCAAGTATCAGTGCTCCAGTCATCTAAAAAATGGGTTTGCCAGTTCCTGCTACCATACTTGCATTTAAACTGACTTGTAGGTATTTTAAAATCAAAATTACAAGGCTATTAAATTCTTTGAGCTCTCATTTAAATAACAGCACTAGAGGGACACTACTGAAATACTATAGATGCATATGATCTTTTGACAGGAACCATGGCTCAGGTCCCACTGCATACCGCTTTTCCTTATTTTTCCTTATTCTGAAATTACCTTCATCATTATAAGTGATTGGAAACATATAATTTTTCATTTTTGGTTGAAATGAAAGACCACCTAACAGAAATCAACATATTCAAAAATGAAAGTATCTAGATTTGATTAAATAAGTAAATATTTTCTTATTCAAAGAATTCTGGCAAATCCTTTGTTTATTTAATCCACATCTGGGAGACTCAGACCATCTTTATTAGTGTAAATGAATATGATATACTTCTGCTATAACTTTGTTCTTAGCTGGTCTCTATCAGAAGTCCTTTTGAACAGAAACCAACGCAAAAGTACGGAAGCATGGTGAAAATTAAACACCAAGCAGGTTATAGATTTTTTAAAATATAGAAATACTGTTAAAAGTTAAAGTAATGTTGGAAGCATAGTTATTGCTGAAAGTGAGGTCTTGAGTAACACAAACACGAAATAAACGAATCTTTCTAAAATTACAGCCAAAGCAATACAATTCGACATGGATTTGTGACTGCCCTAATACGTACATGGGGTGAAAAGCTGGCCTATTTTTTTGCCATAAGAATTTGCTGCCTTAACAACTTGATCCATTTATTTAGAGATTCAGGGTTTAGCTCAGCCTTTTATCATGTGTAATATACAATTTGAAAATAAAATAGTCATGCTATTTCTTAAAAATGAAGCAGTAAGGGTAGTATCAGGAGTAGAGAGTTAAGATTCTACCAGGGAGAGACTCTTTCACGTAGTGACTTGTTCAGCATTGACAGTGAGATGATCACAGAAGCATCCATATCAGGATTTGGTCAGCATGGTAACCAAAATAAAGAGAATTGCCATTTTTATTTTAGTCTAAGGGAAAGACAGACGGGTATTAGTAGTGTTTCTAAGTCTTTGAAATATGGGGTACCTTTTCTACTACTGAAGGTATTTATTTGGTATTGATAAAATAACTGTTTGTTTATTTTTGAGACATGGCTTTGCTCTGCATCTAAGGCTGCCCTGGTCCTCATCATCCTCTTGCTCCAGGCTAAAGAGCAAGTGCCAGGTTGACAGGTTTGCACTACCATGCTGCTGGAATTGGGAGAACGTCCAAGCATGGCAGGGGCTAGATTCCTTTTAAAATTATGAAATGCAAATTCTAGTATCCACAAGAGCTTTACCAGTTCAACAGTAATATACGGAAAGATGATGTAAAATGAAAACATTTTGGCTACAACCGCATGAAAAGCACTTTGTAGGAAACATCCCAGTGTTTGAAATGAATTTAATTTATTGATTGTTTTGGCACTCTTTAGTCAAAGTTCAAAATGCCTAACACATTAAGGAATCAGGTGTTTATAAATCAAGACTTTTTGAAACTCAGGTTAAAGATGGCAATCATAGATTTTCTTGATCCTACTTTGAATAATGACTCATAAGATAGTTTATGGAAATTATTACCTTCAAAGCCCAAAACTTAACCACCTGTTTCAGAAAGCGATGCATTTTAAGAGAGCAGAAAGAAAACAGGACACACTCTTTTATGAAAGATGAGAAAGTTGAAGTATATGCTCTCAAGGATTCCTTCCAACTGTGCATGTCCAGCCTGCCACATTTCTATGATGTTAAAACAGTAAAAGACCAGAGGAAATTTGCAACAGCTTGTTTCGAAGACTACTTAGGGAGTAGGATTTGTTATTTCTAGAAATTGTGACTTCCTCTGTACTTTCAAATGACTTACAGCACTAATCCTAGTCTTACAGAGTTTAATAAAGTATGTTATTCTCTTGAACTGCCTGTAAAGGATAAAGCCAGAAAATTTCCTTTGAAGTTCTCAAAGTCTTTTCCCACCATGGCTTTGTTATTTTTGTTCTGTAGTTTTTATTTCACTTCCAAGAGAATCTACTGTCAGGATGAAATCAAATTTTTCTAGTCAATGAATATCTAGAGAGCTTCCCTTCCTGGTTTCACGTTGCTATAAAGAAAATCCAGTAGAATTATGACCTACAATTTAACCAAACCCCTATAATGGCATGCAACAAAAAAATTCTGAGAGTCATATTAATATCATGCAAACCAAGATGTCAGCCAATGTTCTTACAGGAACTTCCTGGTGAAAGAGGAAATAAAAGCCAGGCTTTCAGGGCACCCACTGCTAGGCATTCTGTGTGGTCTCCCACACTGTTTCCCTTTTGAAATTTTTAAATCAACAGCAAAATTACCACAGCTGGAATGCCACCAAGGATGCTGGCACTGCATGACAAGAAACAATCGATTTGCTCGCATCTTTTCTGAAGCTGTCCGAGCAACCATTGTCGCACAGGATGATCTGAGGATCATGAAGCCATCATGATGCAAAGCTCCCAAAAATCTGAATTTGTTTTCGAGCATCTATGTTGTCCTTTAAGTTACATACCGTGACCATCATCCAGGAATTCTGTGATGGTGGCTGAAGTGCATTTCGACCACGGCTTGGATGCATCAATGCTGGTAAGGATTGAAGACATTAGACGTTTGTCCTCTGTGGAACCGAAATTCTCTTCACAGAATTTGGAATCATCATGGGAGAGGCCAAGTAGATGTCCTAGGGAAGAGAAGAGAGAATGCAAATGACATAAGTAAGAAGAGAATCGCCAACTACAGATGACTCTGAATTTCTGTTTCCACCTAACAAACACATTAGCCCCGACCCCACTTGGCACCTAATCAATGGTGAGTTTAACAGTCTGCATATCCAGACTGATCCTCCAGCCATGTGAAAGCTGCATGATGTTATGAAGTAATTGCTTTGGGTGAACATTTGGATGAAAATTGAAAACGTAAATGACGAAGTAGATAATCCCAAAGTCCATCTGGATCACATATGCTCACTGACATATAAAAGCTTACTTAGAATCATGAATTTGGGAGGCCTCTGTGGGATTATGTCATAGCCCTCACCACATATTATTTTTATTGTTAGTATTCTGCCTTCTCTGCTCAACTACAAAACTCCAGAAGATCAAAGTACATTTCCCTCATCTACAGCCAAAACCTTTGTATCTGACTTAGTGCTATGCACACAGAAAACGGTAGATGGTTTTTGAATGCCAATGACTACTGTTTTCTTTGTCAAGTACATAAGTAGTTCTCTGAGATGACCCAGAGAGAAAACAAATAAAAAGTAACATTTAGAGGCTTTCTTGTATGAAATATCATCCCTCTTCATACTTTGTTTATTATAGTTATTTGGTGAATTGTAGATAGTTATTAGTCTCACAAAGAACCTATTTTGAAAATATGCTCATCTCTACTGTATTATGGATAAAAAATCAACATACTCATTTTGGAGTGCTAGAGATGGATGAGAAACCAGATGCCAGGAAGATAAGTAATGGTTCCAAGGCACCTGGTCAGGATGTGTGTGCACTTAACCCTCCTGTACTTGCTACAGTCCCAGCCTAGACTATTGCCCATTCATCTATCCAGGTATCAATTCTCAGAGTATGTCAATGTACTCAGATTCTTATAATCTGAGTAAATTGCTTCTTGTTCCTCAATATCATTATTTTCCATAGCCTAATGGGTATGTGGACATTCTTCTATAAATCTAAAAGGCTTTACAAAAGAATTCAAGTAGGTAGTTATTTCAGCAAAGCATTCAGGGTCATATAAAACCCACAAGTTCACGAATAAGACAGTACAGCAGATTGGTCACTTTTTCCTGAGATTCTTATACAGCAAATGCAGGAATGCTGGCCATCTGATCAAGAGTCCAGTCAATGCAGAACAACACGGCCCAACAGAGATGAAATCTTTCACACCACATTCCAGCTACTTTGGGCCAACTTGTTAAATCACTGACACCTCATAACAAAATTATTCACTGCGCAGCTGACTGCTCTTGTGCTTGGAATGAAGTGACTACGGTTCGGTGACCTTCCAATTCTCCACATATTTATGCTATTTATTTGGTTATTGCCTTCAGCAGCATTTATAGAATTTATGGGGCAAGCAAGATTTCTCTGAAAGTCTCTCCATTGTAGAACATGATGGGTTTGATCAGTAGCAGGAGTATCTATCACTGTTTGTGAAGTATGTCCTCAATAACATGGGAAGCAGGATTGGCAAGATTTTTTAAAGAGTGTCACAATCCACAGAAAACATATTTATTAAGATTGCTGAAAATTGTTTAATCTATCTGGGACTTTTTGAGAATTCACCTTGCAGTCCCTGGACTTTTCCAAGGTAAAAGCTTTAACAGCCAACACAGTGGAACCTGTTTGGAAGTTTCATACTGGGGAATTGTATTGTGTCAAGAGAAAAAGAAAGAGGGAAATGTGTCCAATGAAATCTCTGTAACAGGATATTCAGTCAAATCCATGTTTTAAACTTAACAATATGTGCTTTTTGCATTATATTTTCTAAGAGATTCACACACATTTAATGAAGCCAGGATTTCCCCTCTCAAATTGATATAAATAACATTTTCCAAAGGCATTTTTATTATTGCATCAAGGGATTTTCACTTCATTTGGAGGGTGTATTTTGGATTTATGATTTAAAATAAAGTATGTACTGCAAACATCAAATTCACTTCGAGGGCTGAAGAAAGTATCTTGGTTTTGTTTCTGTCACACATTAGTGGTAACTCCTATTAACTTAAAATTTTAAGTGGTGTCAACCAGGCAGTATATTTTGAAAATATTTTGGCATGATTTAATAAATCATTTAGAGTGCTATTTCATATCATACCATGGTTTTTATGATCCCTAAATTTAGCCATCTAACTTAATTGCCCTGAAAGACAGACTCATATAAGCAAATTCAACCAGAAAAGATTGCCTTGCCGATCTGAGCACTAACAAAAGTTCCACCTCACACTTAAAGGAGGTGTTCATTTTGTGAGATTCCTTCCATCAGACAGAAACACTGCTGGAGGGCTGACTGGAAAAAGTACTTGTCCTCCATGGAGAAAACCTGTAAGCTGCCTGGGGAAAGGATGTTCTCAAGGGCGGCAGGAGTTACGGCTCTAGAAGAACATTTAAACACCCTACAAACAGGTGGAAGGTTCCAGAGTAGCTGGAACCAGGGTACCACGAGAGACCCATGTGACTTCCCCTCCAGAGCTGGCAGAAATTGAAAAGGAAGAAGAATGTGATGAGTGTCCAATGCTCTTCAGGGAGGAGGTGACTGGAGGTCACAAACGGCAAACACAGTGTGTGTTTAAAGCCCATGTCTCCAGTCAGTGACATGAAGACATTTGATGTCAGTCTGAAATTTGCCAGCATCGTTGAGAATTGGAATGATAAGTTACATACAGATGCATGAGGCGCTTACACAGCAGGTGATGTAGCAGGACACTGTAGATCCAGAATCAAGGACATTTAAACTATGACATCACAGCTGACAATCATGGATGTCAAACAGCTGTGAAGGGGACCCAACATGCATACAGATCTGACTGATGAGGACAGATTTTTAACTCTTCAGTCAACTGCTCATTCAGAGGAAGTTAATCTGGAAAGCACCACAAAGACATTTACAATGAACAGCAGGTGGGATTTAGATAATCACGTCCTAGAAGGGCAAACCAGTCTTGGTGGAATCTGGGGAAGTGACAAAGTCAGTGTTCACAAGGCCTACATTAGCTGTTCTCATCACAGTGTATTTTCTGAGGAGCTTTTTGGAGCAAGAGGGCAGTGAAATTAGTGCAGGGGTGAGGTATTAGAGGTCAAAGGGCATGGGGTCCACAGACCAATGGAGAAAGGCCATCCTTTTCCTTGGGACTGTGGAGATGCATTTCTCTCTTAGGAGTCAGAATGTAGGACTGAAAGAGTAGGGTGACTTCAAGGTAATTTAGAATGATAAAGTATTTTTGAGGAAGCTCCCTTAGTCCAATAGGGTACCCAAACTAATGAACAAGAGGTGGAGATGGACTTAGAAGTGGCCATTCACACTTAGAGGGTTACATTAAAGACCCAAACCTTGCATAAGGGAAACATTTGCATTTTTATTTAGAGCCATTTGTAATCAGTAGACACACAAAACACCAAAAAGAAAACTGCTTTGAGCATTTTTGTTGATAACCTTCTTTATAAACTGGCAAATGGGTGATAACTTATTCAATGACTTTCATTTTTGATATTCCAAATATATATTTGAGGATGCTCTCACTTTCTTGTCTAGTGAATCTGCAGTTAGAAAAATATGCACCCAGGGAATGACAAACTTATATATATATTTTTAAAGACAGGTTGTAATTATCCTAGGCTGGCATGAAACTTTATCCATCTCTAAGAAGGACCTTGAACTTCTGATCCTCACTCATCTGCCACCTGAAGCCTGGATCATAGCTGTGTGCTCCCTCTTTTGCTTTATTCAGCACTGGAGATGGAACTCAGAACATCATGAATGCAAGAAAAGCTACAGCAGCTCTGCCACATCCCCAGCCAAGACACATGACATTCAAGGGAACCTGCTAGCTTAGCCTCTCATTCGACTCAGGTATTACTGGGCAACACTGACCTCAGGAAGGAAATGGAGTGTTTTGCTAAACTTTGGTCTGCAAATTACACAGAATTTCAAGTTCTTGTCTCCTGATCCCAAACTAACCAATAGTCAAGGGGACATAGCACCACATCCTACAAAAATGTCCCAAGAAGCACTGTAATGTGTTTACTTGGGAAAGTGCAGCTCAGAAGAGGCATCTGTTTCTTAATGAGGTCATGTTTTTCATTTACCTAATTTTCCAGCTGGGATTATGGAGGTGCAAGAAGGTCTGGCCAGGGGTTGAAGAGTGAGTCAACAGCTCACAGGGGATAGAATCTAGAACCACCACAGAGAGGAATCATGACCTCCAATAATCATGAGGGGCATACTCTTCCTAACACAAACCTTTATGTAGAGGTGATAACACTCAGAAGCATTCCGTTAAAAAAACACTAAGTAAAAATGCTTAATGTGGTATTGAGTATGTAATTTAAGAAGAGAAAAAAAATGAACTCTTTCACCCTATGATGATCTGTCCTTTTAAACCAATTTCACACCTAATAACCTCTAAAACCCCATTATACAGTACTATTAAAATCTTGGATTCTGGAACCAGAAGAGTTGCATTGTGACCCTTGGAATTTTCTAGTTATGGATCTTAGACAGATGTAGAAATTTCTTTGTATGTTAGCTTCCTCTTCTTCTGGGTGCCTCATGATAGTATTTACTTCATGGTGTGCCTGTGTGCATGTTTGTGTGTGTTGTGTGCTCACATTATGTATGGTGACGTATGTGTGCATGTGCCTGGGAAAGATTAGAAGAGAACCTTGGCTGATGTTCCTCAGGCACAATCTACCTTAAAACAATTTTTTTTTTGATACCTTGTTTGTCACTGGGCTGAAATGCTCCAAGCGGACTGGGTTAACTGGCTAGTAAGAGCTGGGGGTACACCCGTCTCTGCCTCACCAGGACTGGGATTATAAGTCTGTACAACAATGTCTGGTTCTGTTTTTTTATGTTTGTTATGTTTTTTGTTCTAATGTGGATTCTGGGTATTGAACTAATGTTTTTGTGTTTACAAGCAAGCTCTTTACCAAGGAGCTATCTCTCTAACTGTCAGTATTTGCAATAAAATTTAATACCACTGAGTACCTTGAACTGCGAGGGAGAGAACAATTTCTTAATTTAAAAAGAGAAACAAACCACATATTATGGCTGCAATCTACTTTCTAATGCCATGTTCAACTAGCTGGTGTCAACCTGTGTGGCAAAAAGGAAAAAAAATCAATAGGCCTTCCCTAGAGAAACATGGATTGGGATAAAATTTATTTTTAAAGTCATAATAAACATTAAATCTCGCAGTGCTTGAGACATGTAACCCATACCTATTTCTACCTTTCATCCCCAGTCCAAGAAAGACACGGTGAGGTACTGATTCAAGTTTGACAGGAAATATGCCTAGTTTGTGTTGATTAAAGTGACAGGTCTGAGGATAAATAACAAGTTGAATCCCAGCTTTCCTCTCACTTCACGTCTCGCTTGCCTCGCCAGTTGAACATCTGAGTCTGTGGACTTGCTTTTGGTCTACCAAGTTTTGGGGGGGAGGGGAGCCCTGCAGTTTTTCAAAACATAGACTTGTTTAATCTAATCATCTACCGGGCAGCGTCACACACTGATCAGCACAACCAGAGCAGCCTCTAACCACAGCAAAATACAGGCAGTCCCCAGTTGTGTCTCAACCACTTCCTAAGTCTGGCTGAGGATTTGGTCATGCTCTTTAAAGTTGCCTAGTTTTAACTTAGGAAACACATTGCAGTCTTTCTTGGTGCAGAAATTCACATAACACATTTTATAATTAACTACTATAACACAGACCTTTCGTGTACTTGGAAATCATGGCTTTCATTAATCTTAATAAAATCCTATTGTTCCCCTTAGTATATTAGAAGCTGGCTCAACATCAGTAAACTGATTGTTTTTAATGACCATATGTGCAGCAAGTGAAATCTTTATTATTACAAGTCTATAGTAAAAGCTTGACAAGTTAAAAATTATAAACTCAGAACGTAAACTTACATCAACTTGAAAACTTTCTGCCATTCTCCTTTGGATTGTAAAATAGCTGTAAACACATTCCTGCCTCCACCCAAAGCACATGGGTGATTTGAAGCAACATTTTGAAATGCTCTAGCAATTGAGTCAGTATTTACTGTGCACAGCCTAGAAAGCAGAAGGCAATTTAAAACATCCTATGGGTCTTGTCCACATTAATCGACATTGCTCTTGCAGAAGCCTGTAGTCTCTATTGGCATCAGGTGACTGTGTACAGTCAATATCTTGCATTTCATTGTTCATTTGATTTTGAGAGTGAATGGATTAGCAGGATGACAGAAGAGTCCCAGCTAACAGGTAAAGCAAGCAAGAAGAATTTTTCAGAACTCTTAATCTAATCCATGCCGTTCCAAGACTTGCAGTTTAATACCATAGGGTTTCTCTGGTTTGTCTCTATTTTTCTTTTTCTTTTTTGTGGCAGAGTCTCACTATGTAACCCAGGCAAGCTTGGAACTCATGTTCCTCCTGTGTCAGCCTTTCCAGTGTTAGCAGTGTCAATGTGCCATCATGTCCACCAACTCTTTATCTTATGTGTTAATTTTCAACTTATTTTTTTTAAACTGGAGAATATTGGGGGGAAGGAGGAAGGACACTTTGTTTTCTTTGTGCATAAAATAAACTGGACCCTCTGTTTGAAACCACTTTATACAGCAAAAGAAAGCATTTGACACTCTATGGGACCCCATGTCAGTTAAAATAAACTATTCTTAATCAAATATATTCCTTTACTTCTTATAGAAAAAAAAGTAGACAGTCTATGCTAGAGTCCTGGATATTTCCTTCCAGTTTGTGTTTTGAGTGCAGTAACACATTGACAGTATTTGTTTGGAATGAAGGAAACAACATTTTGGAATGAGATTCCAACAGATTCTAAATACTTGAAAGCCACTGCTTGAAGATGTTATTTTTATAACTACATAGACTGTTTATATAATTTCCAAGTCTAAAAAGTAGCAAATACATAATAAAAGATGAGGAAGAAGCTAAGAATAGATTAGAATTAAAATCCAACCCATTGTTAGCTTAGATTGAGCTGACAGTTCATATAACAATTAAGAAATAAACACTTTGAACAGGTCAGTGAGTTAAGGTCAAGATGCTTGAGAGACAAGGCTCTGATCATCTGCAGAGATAAAATCTTAGGTAAAGTTATCATTTCTAAAAATTTTAGGACTCACATTTTAGAGCACATCCTTATAATATTTAGGCAACATTAAAATATGAGAGCAATTAAAATGAAGTTAATAAAAGATGTTTTTAATGAAAAAGGAATCAAATCCATATCTTTTTTCCCTTGGACCTTAAATATCTCTTTAGACCATTTGTCATATAGAAAGGAAATTTATGCAGGCAATATTTAAATGAAAAATGAATCACAGGAATATAATAGAGTTATAATGAAGTAAAGAGAGACAACTCAACTAAGAAATTCAAGGAGACACCAGGATGTAATCACATACAAAGACACAGGTTTGACTCTGCATATAGGAGCCCACTATGCTCCCACGTTGTTACATACAATCATGCCTAACTGTCTTGTTTGGCCTGTCTGGTTCCATACTTCTTACTGCTTCTTCAGCCTGTGTAACACAGAGCCCTTGTTGAAGAATTTAGGAGGGCTGGGAATGTGACCTTGCCAGACTTAGACACTCTAGTCCAGGTGGTGTGACATGAGAGTCAAAAGGAACAATGAAGAGACTATGTAGATAGCTCAGCATTTCTCTTGTAGTGAAACCTGCCAAAGCTGTCACTCTGTATAAAGATCACCACAGGAGAGGAGGTCAGAAGGAAGCGGTAGCTTTTCCTTCAAGAATGTGCGATCTGCAGTAGCTCATTATTGGTCGACCATAGAGGGACAGCACAGATGATCAAGCTGTCTAAATGACCTCGATGAGTAAGATTCCACAGGCAACCGAAAGGGGCTGGACTTCATCTCAGCACTTTGCTTTAAGTGAAAGATGCTCAAAAAATGTTTTGGACCAAATTAATATCAATGATGCTGTGAGAATGCTTTTTATATTCAAGATTCATGTTTGATGTCAAGGAGATTGTCAGTACATCAATATCTCAGGATAAATACTTGAAATCAATAGTTGAAATGTAACTACTTAATTCTGTTCAACTGCCATCATATTTGGATTTACAAAATTGTCCCTTTCACTAGACATTATTCTGCTCCTCAAAGAAATGTGGTTAGGAATCGGCACCTTGTGAAAACACATTGATCGATAGGAATGTGAGGTAGAAATTTTAATTTCCATTTAATAGTTATGACTGTAGCTTTAACAAACTAAACCTTTTAAATAAAATATTGAAAAACCCTAAATGTAAAAATGATTGAATGATGCCTTGCACCACAAACAAAGATGCAAAGAGGTTGTGCATAAATTAAGAAAGGGAATGAAATATTTAACTAAGAAAAGTGCAGTATGTTGATGTGGACATAAGTAATACCCAATATCTACACTCCACCAATTTGGTTCCTAAAACAATTCCATATAAGATAGGGCTGTTCTTATATTTCAGAAATGAAGGCAGAGTCTCAAAGAGTAATTTGACACAAGGGGGCTATTGCTTCAGTAAGACACAAAGTTACATGTATCTGATTATAACATTTTGTCCTTAAGTACTAAGCCAGTTTCTTGTAAACCAGTCTCCTAGGTCAGTGCTTAGTTTTCCTTATCCCAGGGATATAGTTTAACTGTTTACCTCTGCCTTTAATTCACAGTTGTAGGGCTTAGAAGTATTTGGCATACTAAGAGAATTGAATATGTGACATTATAAAGTAAACTATGCTGAGAGCCAGCTTGGCTCCAGCTGCCTCGCTACTGGGAAGGAGATGGGAATATTTACCACAAGCTACTGATTCCCTTTGACAGCAACCTACTATTATCACTCATGATGGGGCAAAACATGTTAAATTTCTGTGCAAACTGATTATCCCTGGATGAGTCAACACTGTCATGAGTAACTTCTAAAAGGGACGCCTCTGCATTCCATAGGCGACTGTGACAAATTCTGTCTAGAAGTCATTTAGGGATGCTTAAAAAGAGAGGAAAAAAAAGACAGTAGCAAGTTTCCCCTTAACTTTTAAATGACACTGTCAAAAGGAAACATCTACTGTGTTGCTGACTTTGCCTTCCTTTTCCCCCCGCATTAAGTTAACCCTGAAAGTTCAAATATAAACAAATGTAATACCCAATGGTACATCTGAAACAGAAGAAATCTGGAATTAATTGCCAAGTATTTTGGGTCCTGTTGCAGCTGTTGCAAGTGTTTGATTTGGCGAGGGAAGAGAAAAGGCACTGCATACCAATTTCATGAGCCACAGTGAAAGCTGCGTGGAGGCCATCGTCTTCAATCACAGCACAGCTGCGCTCCGGAGAACATATGGTCCCAACGTCTGCCATTCCCAGGGTGTCACATGAATGATGCCCACATAAATCCTGCCCGGGAGAAAGAAAGAAATCATTAAAATCAATTTACCTCCAGAAGGAGCCACCATGGACAGCCACTTGCTCAGCCTGAATGGCAAGACTGAGATACGTTTATGGTGTCATCTGCTCAGTGCTGGAAACCTTCCAAAGACAAATTCAAAGCAGAAACTCTTCTGAGCTACTTTGCAATCCAGAAGCACAGAAGGATAAAGAAATTCAATGATATTTTAGAAGATGTCATTATTACAATCCAAACCCTAGAACCTTAAAGCTGTAGTACACACACGAATGTCAAGGGTTACACGTGCTCAAAATAGGAAAGCCTAATATTCTCAACTAAATTCAGGCTGAACTTCTTGGAAGAGAGTCTGAATAATTTGTTTTCTATTAGAGTCCATCTATAACCACATACTTGTGATAGAATATATTACTAAGATACTTGTGTTTATACATATGTTTGTGTGTATACATATATTCAGTCATTTATATAGGAAACAAACTGAACTTGAACCTATATGTCTAATTAGATAGAAAAATAAAATTTCCACCTGTCCATTATTACTTGAAAGATCAGTTTTGAATTTCTCAATTGAATTGTAATTTCATACGCTGTGTCTTCAGAAACATATGTAGGGTCGCACATAGCTTTTCAATCATGTTACACTTATTTATTGGGCGTGTGAACATATGTGTGCCACAGTACATGTATGGGGGTCAAAGGACAGCTTGTGGGAGTCAGGTTTCCGCTTTCACAATATGAGTTCAGGAGATCAAACTCAGTTTGTCAAAATTGGTGGCAAGCATACCTTTACCCACTGAGCCAATTTGCTCATAGCTTTTAGTATAGTGTGTCTCAACCTGGCCACACATGAGACAACAAGTGGGATACAAATATGTTGTATATGTAGATATGCGTGTATTCATTTTATTCTTATGATATTCCACAGCTTTTAAGAGATTCTCAAAAGCAAAAATTATCATATTATACTGATGTTTAAAAAGTCAGTTAAAAAAACATCAACAAGACACTAAAGAAATTAAGCTTAAAGAGGATAATAGAAGCTACAAGTTTTGACATGTCCAATTTCTAATAACATTCTCTTTAAATGTTAATTTAATTATTAAATAGGCATAAAATTTCTTGTGCATACTTATTAGTTTCATTAAAATTCAACATATGTATTTACAACCAAAAGAACAATATAGCATTCCTAAGTAAGCCATAAGTTCATAACCAACCCTGGAAGGGAATTTAAAATATTAGTTTTGGAAAGAAGTGCTGTTTCTATTATAGCTGTCATCTGTTCACAGTGTGTATCTTACAGTAGGGACTCAACCAACATTTGTTTCATTAAATTGAATAGTGAGATATAGTCAGACTCAATGTAATGGTCCTCATATATTTTTATGATGGTGCCTGCTGGTAGGACCTCAGCAGCCTTTCAGGCACACAGGTGTAAGGTGGTATTTCCATACATCCAATGTACAGATTCAGTGCTAACAGGCACTCCTCATTCCTCTCTATTTTGCTGTGTAGAAGTCCAACAAAGGTGAGAAATACTTAAAAGCTATACTGAATTCTCTTCTCTTCTCTTCTCTTCTCTTCTCTTCTCTTCTCTTCTCTTCTCTTCTCTTCTCTTCTCTCCTCTCTTCCTCTCTTCTCCCCTCCCCTCCCCTCCCCTCTCTCCTCTCCTCTCCCCTCCCCTCCCCTCCCCTCCCCTCCCCTCCTCTCCTCTCCTCTCCTCTCCTCTCCTCTCCTCTCCTCTCCTCTCCTCTCCTCTCCTCTCCTCTCCTCTCCTCTTTGCTTCTCTGTTTTCAGGTCCTTCTTGTGCTGTTTATATTGTGACTTTTAGTTGCATTGAGCTACCCACTGGCCACCATGTCATTACAGCTTCAGATAGTAAAAGTTAGCTTCTTGTCAATAAGAAACTTTTGTGAGTCATAACCTCATGCCAATGATACCCCCTAAGCTTCCCTGGGTATCCTTCTATGTCATCCCATGAGATACCAAATTACAGCTGCTAAGAACAAATAAGCAGTTTTAAAAATTGAAATTTGAGTAGTCTTTTGCATAATAATTACCATTTGGGATAATAACATAGTATAACACATTTTTAATCCCCCCTTTCATCGTTTTAGCAATTTTAGGACCAGATCCCTGTTATAGTTGAATCCTTACACACAGTAGGTTATTTTTACATGCAAATGTGTTTTTAAACCAAGATTTATGTTTATCATCATAATTTGGAGTTGATTATCTTCAAATAGTAAAATCCAGGAACTGACTTCCACCCCTCGTGTCACTGAGCAGCTTGGAGTCAGTGTAAAAGGAAATGGCCTTCCTGTTCCCAGTGGAGTGGAAAGCGGAATCTTATTATCTCTGTTTACTGCTAATCAATTGCTCATTAGAGGCCATCAACCCTCCTTGTTTTCTCTGAATTGCATTAAATGCATTTGGCCTTTTGCCATGGAAACTGTGCATGTGACTAAATTATGAACAGAAGCACTTGTTATTTTTTAACCATACTGATTAAGCCCCTTGACTATAGAGCCACACCATTATACTTGTACAGCTGTAATTATAAACTGGAAAACTTTCCATGTCTCTCATGCAATTTTAAACACTTTTAGTGCAGTTACAGTTTCACCCTCAAGATGTACAAAGAAAATATGAACACTGCAAGGCATTGTTCTTCTTAAGGTGTGAAAGACTCTATGTCAAATTATTAATATAGCATATTGCATCCATATTTTTTTTTGTTTTCTGGTGACCCTTTACAACAGAATTTATATGTTAGTTAGCCTTCAATTTTATAGGGTTTTTAAAATTCAGAGGAGGGGTAGAGATAGTACTGTGGTGATCACATATTAATGTATACACATTATAGCATATACATTGAGATGTGTTCTAGAACTGGGGGTAGGAGACACTACAGAAGGCAGTTCAGCATCTCTTAAAGAGGTAAGTGAGTTAAACATGCTGGCAAGTGCTTTGCTGCTTACTCAGCACCCATTAGAAGGCAAATAATGTATTTGCTTTTCTGGCAGTAGTTATCCGTGTAGAATCAATACCCTATTACCATTGAGTATTGAATGATACAGTGGAAGAAAGACTGAGCAAAATATAAATGTTCTGAAAGTTTGAGGGGAGTTAACTGTGGTCCCATGGTACAGTTTTGGCCAGGCTACAGGACAGAGACAGTGGATTTAACTTCAAGACATATCTGAGATAGTCTTCAGGACCAAAAACTTTCCACAAGGAAGCCATTAGCCCTGTTACTATCACAGATACTGTGACTATGGGGACTTTGTGACTTTTCATGCCATTCAGAAATACTACTAGTGCCTCAGACCTACTTGTGGAGATGGAGAAGGGGATGGGGAGGCAGCAAAGCATGCCACCTAGAGCTTCAGTGCTCAGAGGGGAGCTTGGAAAGCACCCATGCTTAGTCCCGGATGGAGAAAGGAGCCCAGCACCAAGGGGGCATTGCTATCCAAGCAAGAATGTCACAGGAGTGGGTGGGAGAATTTCTGGTCTTGATTGAGAGATTGTTTTCCCATGAAGTAAAAATTTTGTTGAGATAAGGACTTTGAGGAAAAATAAATTCGGATAAGGGCAGATATCTTCCTAAGGGCAGCAATAGCAGCCACTTAGGTTGAAGAAGAACACTTTATACAGTATTAGCTCCTGGGAAGGCCAGCAGTGGAGTTCAAAGCAAGGGTGAGAAATCATAATGTTTGGGATGCCCACTCTTATTTCCACACAATTTTACTGAAAAGAGACTAGTGATGAAAGGATTAACACTAGGACCTATATTTTAATCAGAAGTATCATACACACACATATATACTTATATTTGTACATATAGTTTGTCTTATGGATTTTTATCCCTGATTAACAAGTACCGACTGTACATATTAATGAGTTCTGTGTAACAGTTCCACATATGCAAATAGAAGGCATGGATCAAATCAAGTTTCCGTTATCTACCATCACTGCATACCATAGATCTGATTCTTGAGGCATCATTTTCCTTTATAGCTACCTATACATCAATCTCCAATAACAGTATCTTATTTTTATATTTAAACAGAGATTATATTTTTGAAATGTTAAGTCAATCGTCAGGTGACCTGCATTATACATCTCTAAGCAGGCATCTGTACAACTAAGGGGTTCCGAATGTGACAGAGTTCAATGGGATTAGGGGCTAAAGGACCCTAGCATATTCATTTCTATAATGATAACTATGTACCTACAATAACTTAGCTCTTATGCTAATTTCTGCCACTGTAGTGAAAAAGTTCTAATACTGGGTCTTAAGAAATGTGATAACTTAGTGAGTGATCAAGACAGAAGTGTTGTGAGGAAGCAAACTGACATGCTGTGATGAGTAGATAGTTGTGAGTATACAAACTGGTGAATGGACCCTCCTTGCAGCAATCAGTAAAGGTTTTCACAGGATTGGAAACACTTGCACTGGGTATGATGTTCTGAGAAGAAAGGCATCCTATCAAGGTGGGACTCAGGAAAGTAACCTCTGACTTGGAAATGACCTGACATGGCATTTGTTGAGACTAGATTTCCACGAATTTGTAGTGGACTAACAGGGAGTCTGGAAGAACAATCTGAACAAAGATTTTTAAGAGCAGACAATCATTCTAATAAATTTGAGGTGAGGAGACAGGAAACAGGGAAGAAGAGACACAACAAAGTATAGACTAAGGGGAACAGGTACTTGGACCAGTCCTTGGTGATAGGAACCAGGCTGTTAAAGATGGTGAATGTAAGGAGGATTGCTTTTAGATTCCAAATCTATTTGTAAGACACATTTTGGAAACAATTTATGAACTTTGAGACAAAGGCTCTTCATCATTCATGCAAGGACTCTATCCAGCTACACCTGTGTTGGTATTAACTTAAAACATCTGAAATATAGATGAAAAAAATAAAGCTCAGGAGAGAGAAGTCTTTAGCCTGAGTCTTTAGCTTCAGCACAGTGAAGCTG